TTTAGATCAGCACTTAATTCTGTTGATTGACTAATTACCAGGAAAGATGCCATTGGGAGAAAAATCTGCATAATGCCTGAATATTTTTAAACCTGAAATCAATTCATTAATCCTCAAGCATTTTGAAAACCAACGCTTCAGTGGGCTTTTGAGCAAAAAGGCCTCGTGCTTTTTCCACCTTCTCCAGTGTGACGATTTGTCCTATATTCATGTAAATATGTACCTAAACAAAGATGCATCTCTTCTGTGAAACAGAATACTGAAACTGTACTCACTCAAGCTGATTTGACTTTGAGCTGAGTCTCCTTCTGACCTTTGAATCGACTGCACACCTAAACCTTTATTATTATTCCCGAGGAGTTAAGCTTCAGGCTTTGATCAGCATCTCAAGTTAACGCTATGAATATCTCTATTTTCCCTGACGGTCTACAATTACTCATGAAAGGCTTTTAATCTCCCAGCTTTTCTCAAGAAATGTTTGTTCATCAATCCGATCACACTTTTTATTTCAAAAAGCTGATGTTGCGCTGACGGTAACGTGACGGTTTGGGGTGGAAATCCTAGGTGACCTGAAGAGTTAGTGCCTTTCACCTGTCTAATGCCTGACCTTTTGTCCCTCACAACACCACCCCTGCTCCTTTATCCATCCATCCATCTCCTTTTCTAGGTTTCTTATCCAGGGGGATGTTACAAGTCCAGCCTACACATACAGACTCTCTCTTCCTCCCTCTTGTCGGTCACCTGGGGGCCGAGAAAACTATTGGCTCTAATCTTGTATCTCTCAGCTTTAGCCACAGTGGGTGGGTTAGCAGAGCCAACCAACAGCTTTATCTCTGACCAGCAGAGGAAAACCTGGGAGACCCGATCTCATCCACCCACACAGGCACACACATGCACATGACAGGATACCTGCTCACATATCAAACCACTCATAGACAAAGCAAATCAAACACGTACACACAGTTAGAGCTGGGTTCATGTGTGCTCCTGGCAAAAGCAGGGGAACACATGCAGACTTACATATATGTAGTCTTAACAGCACATCTAAATAAGGGTGTAAAGGTGTGACACACACACACACACACACACAAAGACTCCTGGCAAGCAGAAATTGTGACGAAGACAAGTGGTTCAGCTGCGAAGACTGAGATAGGACCGGAATATTCTTTATCTCTTGACGGTGCACGGCTTAATTTTAGGGACAGTTTTTTATAGTCTAGCCTGAAAGATTTATCAGCTGACTCTGCTGCTGCATTTACTTTAACGCACCGAATTAGCTCCACGGAAAAAAAAAAAAGGACATCACACAAAAATACTGAGAGAACTTATCGGTTCAGTTTTTAAATCTTTTTCAATTAGATTTTATTCTGCGCAGTGAAGACGATGGGCCAGAATAAATGGCATTTAATGTCAAACATAATAAACACTACGGGGGCTAAAAGTAAGTGTAGAAATGGAAATGAAGAATAAAACTTTTGCAGGGCAAAAATGCAGTTCAGTAGAGCTCAACAAATTTGCATTTAATCAATTTGAAAAAAGGTTTTAATGCAAAGTTAGTTGCTGCGTAGCAGCACACACACACTCCAAGAACGCATCACTCCAACGACATTTCATTGTGCAATCCATCTTAATCAGCTAGCCCATCAGAGACAATATATCCTCCCCTCCATCTCCCTACCCTTCTCCGGACGGAGTGATTGAGGGGTGTAAAGAGGAGGATGTTTCTGCCCACGTCTCCTCCCCCAGTATGCCCCCCCCCACCACCACCCGGACGGCTCTTAAGTGCTTGTGGGTTTTTATGTTTGTAGTGTTTTATAGGAGTGGGCAGAAGCCAGGAGCAGTAAAAGTGTGGAAAGAAGGAGGGAGGGAGGAATAGGAGGAGGAGGGAAGGAGGAGTTGAGGGTTACTGTAAATCCAATCTTTATTGAGAGAGACACAAACGACAACCAGCGCCCACCCTGCAACGCCCTGTTTACCTGATCAACGAGTGCTGATTGAGGAAAGGAGAGAAGGAAGGGAGGGAATGAAACAAGATAAGGGAGCACGTGAAGTTCAAACCTGTTAATTTATCCGTCCCTATGCATTCGTGTACACGAGTGTCTCTCTTCATGCATATATATGTGTGCGTGTGTTTGAGTGTCTAATCAATTGCTAACCACCAGCCAGGCCTGGAGGCCCCCACCCTCCCAACCTACCTACCAGCCTGCCAGTATAGCGTATAATTGGCCACAGTTGGCTTCAATTGAATGTTTGCTGCCTTAGGGGCCAAATGATGCTTCAAGGCCTTTCAAAGCAGCCACAGAAAATCCACAACACTCCTCCACATGTCAAAAACCGCACGCTCTGGTCAGAGCTTTGCTGCAACAGCACAAAGTTTACAATTTCAAAAATGAGCGTAATTAACTTGCTCGATGTTTCCTTTTATTTTAATGTCATATTTCTTTAAGTGCAACTGGCATCACTCAAAGCCTCTTAGTCAATCAGTTAGTCACTGGGAGAAAAGGTCAGCAGCTTAGTCAACAAAATGACCACGGAGACAGTCAGCTGGGCAGCCAATCAGTCAGGCAGAAAGGATGATCGGACTCTGCCGCCCAAAGCTCCTTTGAGGGTACCCTGTACCTGCTTGTTGCCATGGCAATGCAGTCTGAGATTTAAATACTAGCCTGTGTCCTCTCCCTGTGTCTCTTTCATCATCTTCTTTTCACTCCTCCAGACTCCCCTCTTGCTTTTTGTCACTCAGTGTGACTCTCTCACGCTCCATCTCTCAGTCATGTTTCCTCTGGCATTGCTGAGGTTTTTCTTCATCACCTTGCCTCGTCCTCTCCGCTAAATGACACTTTACTAGCTGTTTCTTCTTGTTAATTCTGTGCTACTTTGCATCCCACGACTCTGTAAAAGCTCTTGTAAAATACAAAGTCGCCTCTCCAGAAACACAGAGACGGTACTTACTGTATACACACATAATTACTGAAACATTTGTAGACAGATGCATGTATAATTACTTGCAAGCACACACAAACAGAAGCAGTCACACTGAACTATGAGAGTCAACGATCAAAATATTCACTGGATGCTGGCACAGCGCGCACCTGCTGACAGTCAGCTGCCAGTGAAAATCTATCATTTTCTGCTAAAGTCTCATCATCAAGCATCATTTAGGCATGCTGGCCTGCCTCACTCTCCCCCGATGCATCACCAGTGCCAAGACACCGATTAAATTTCCCCCACATGCCCAAACAGCCTTGTGGGAAAAAGAAAGTCTCGAATGGATCAAGTGGCTTCTGGCTCCATCTAATGGTCACTACTATCTAAAACCTGAGAACAACAAGTGATGGGAGGACATGAGACCAAAAAATGTTTTAAGAGTTAGATATACATTCACTGGACTGTTTATTAGGTACACCTGGCTAGTACTGAATTGGACCCCCTTTTGTCTTCAGAACTGTGTTAATTCCTCATAGCATAGATTTATCAAGGTGCTGGAAGCATTCATCAGAGGTGCTCAGTTGGCACTAATGGACCCAACATTGGCCAAAAAAAATATCCTCCACACCATTATAACGCCACCAGCAGCCTGAACTGAACTACAACACAGACAAGATCCATGGTTTCCTATCGTCTGCACCAAATTCTGAACCTACCATCCGAATTTCAGAGCATAAATGGAGACTCATCGGACAAGGCAAAAGTTTCCAAATTTTTATTATCCTATTTTAGTGAGACTGTATGAATCATACCCTCAGTTTCAGTTCTGAGCTGACAGGAATGGCGGGAATGGGGTACTCTCATGGTCCAAACTTCAGTTTTAACTTCTCGACCATGCCTAAATGCATTGGATTTCTGTTATATGTGTCGGCTGATTAGATATAGCTTAAATATTATTTATAATTCAATATTTGCAAGTAGTTTTGGAATTAAGACATTCGTCTCTTCTGTTCCTAGTCCGTTTTTAAATAATTTAATATTAAATAGAATTTTAAAAAACAAATTTAGTAAATGGCTTAAAAATCATTTGGTTAACAGCATTACCGTTATCAGAGTGGTTTTTAAGTTTTGTTTTGCACTTATTGTCTGTCTTTAGTTTTATATTTTTATTTATTCAGCCTCTTGTTCCAGTAACTCAGACATTTCAGACTCTCCCAGTTCTTCATCGTACTATTGCTGAACATTTACCCAAAGCAAAACTGATCTGACGCAGCAGATAAACATCAGCCACTGCCATGGGTAAATGTCAACCTTTTTGCTCATAGGCCAACTGCAGCCAGCAAGGCCATTTCCGATGTCCAGCAGATGCATGCATGCATATCAACAGTTGGAGTTGAAAATAATCACTTTCTGCAGTGCACAGACATTAAAAGATACAGTGTTCTTAAACCAAACAGCTGGGGGATGCTACATAAACAAACAAAGCATATGAATTTCACATATATCAAAGGAGTCTGTCCATAATTCTTCCAGCATGGAGACTTCAGATGAATGCTAGCTCTGCTTTTGTGTTTCTTTGTCTACTTTTAAAGTTTCCAGGGAGCGACTCAGCAAATCTTCTGATTCTCAGCCGTTCTGTTGTTCTTTTATTCTTTTTGTACTCCACTTTAAAGAAAACTTCACAGTAGGATTCTTAACCATATAAAGCCCTGTAGCTGTATCTCCCACACACTGAGAAAACATAATACCCATAATCACAGCGCGAACCTCCCTCACAGGTGTTCCTTGCTAAATGTATGCACATCAATGCACAAACGGATTGGAGGCGGCACTCAGTTTGGCACCAAGCTTTTAAAAACATAATCCTTTCTCATGTTTCCCTCTGACTGACTCTTCTTCACATTATTCTTTTCCAGAGGTTTCATCTGTACACCACTGCGAGCCATTATTTTTAGTCAAATAACAGCAAAATAAAATTGAGCTTCATCAATTTATTTTTTAATTACATTTGATTTTGACCTGTGTTAAAATAGACAACTTCACAAAGGTTTAAACATAGACACACACACACATACCTGCATTGACTATAGCGTCTATCTCAAGCTTGGTGATGTCGCCGTTATAAAGGGAAATCTTCTGGTCCAATTTTTCATTCCTCTTGTAGTCAGTTGGCTGCGAACCACCTGATGATGAGAGACACAAACAGCCTCAGGACCAGGTTTGCTTACCTGATAAATCAGCACAGGGGATACATCTGTAGTTCAATGCATACAAAAAGCATCATGTCCTAAACAATTCTTGGAAAAGGCTGCCACCATTTATAGAAGATCACAAGATGTGTATGTAATGAAATGATTTGCCAGGAAGGCACTCAATCCTTAAGCGACTGTCAGAACTCTCACACTCCCTGCCAAGCATCTACAGTATGAGATACAGATTCATACAAGAGGGATCTGTCATTTCATTGTTCAAGGCCTTTATATAGCAAAGTGAATCTAAAGCAAACACATTGAAGCACTAAAAACTATTAGTTTCCACAACCTTCATCAAAGCAAGTGTAGTGATCTGCAGTGACCCTTCAAATGTATGACCTCCATCCATCCATCCATGGAGATATCAAACAGAGATGCTCCAAGGCCTTCTCCTGTCAGGACATGCATCAAATACCTCACCTAGAAGGTGATCAGGAGGCATCCTAGAGCAGATGCCCAAACCATCAAACAATCTGACTTAGCTCTATTCAGTGTGAAACCCAGCCACCCTTCAGAGGAAGGTCATGGACAAGCTAATACTCTGCAATCTCACTCTCCCTCACTTGTGAGCAACATCCTGAGATATTTAAACTCCTCCACTTGAGACAGCAACTCATCCCTGACCTGGAGTGAACACTCCACCCTTTCCCGGCTGAGGATCATGACCTCAGACTTCAAAATGCTGAGAGTCATTCTTGCTGCACACCACTCTAGTGCATATTGGAAATCACCACCTTAATTCATCATTCTAAATATACCTATATAATGTTAAATAATACAATATTGTGCACTGAAAGCTCTGCAGCTAATTCAAAACAAAATAGTTTTTCATTTCTAAAAACTTGACTCCGCCTGACAGCGTTTGAGCACACTGCCTATCATTGTCTCTTAAAAACCAGAGATGTGTCGGGCAGCATTTTTTTTCACTCAGAAAAAAATATATTGATGTTTATAATCAGACTGCATTTTTTAGCAGCTGAATCTTATGCCTACCTTTACGGAGCAGCTACATATGGGGTCTGTCCAGTATTAAAATAATTGTTAATGATCTGAAACCTTGGAAATCTGAGAATCTTGGAAAACCCTACCACTACTATCACTCAACTCTTTGTGAACAGAATGGTAACTGTGACTGATGCTGAGGGTCTGACCTGCAGTGGGAGTCCACACTGAGATCTCATCCAGTGGCTTGTAGTCAGTTGTCCAGTAGTACTGACGCCTGTCCTCCACGCTCAGAGACAGCAGGTAGTCTGAGAGAAAAGTAAGATAAAGAGAACAGGCAGTAAGTCATCTGAAACATATAACATCAAATGTATTTGTCATTTGCACTTTGAGCAGACATCAATGACTTTCTGACTGAATATTTGATCACTCTTCTTGGCAGATTTTGAGAAAAACATTTCTCCAGAAGGCTTTTGGCCTGTCCATGTAGGCAGTAGCAAATTTGGTCAGCACCCTCTAAGTCCATGACAATGTAAAACTCAGTCATGTTGGTGTTCCAGCAGTTTCCAGTTCATGACATGCTTGAGTCTTTGTGACTCCTGGTTGTACCAAACCAATCTCCTCTCATCTGAGAGTGACAGTTTGGATCTTCTTCCAGACTTTGCAAAGGAGGTGACACATCCAGAAAACTTATTCTTGCATATAGTCGTTTGACTATGGAATCTGGAGTTGTTGAGAAATGGCTCCATTAAGCTTTGGCCTCAACCCAACTGAAAACTTTTAGATAATGCTTCAATTCCAGCTCTATGACTGGAAACAATTGAATTTAAATGAACTCCAGTTTAGTGAACTGCCGAGAAGAGATGTCAGATATCTGGCCAGAATTATGCCAGATGCTTGTTGATGGCTACCAAAAGCATCTGTTCGAGTACAACTTGCTACCAGACATTTAACCAAATATCAATGGGGCTGTATGTGTCCATTTAAGCCTGTATGTATACTTTTCACCCTGTGTAGATTAAAGAGAACCAAAAATCATTTCAAATTTGTGCATCCTATTCTTTAATTTATTTTTTAAGTCATTAAAGATGTATGCTGTACAATCATTTCATTCAGAAAAAACAACAGTTAATAAAAAATTAATACAATTTAAAGCCCAAAATTACCATGACATTCATGCCTATGATGAGTGTATGTAAACTTCAGACCACAACCTTATGAAGGAAACTAAATAGTGCATGAAATTTTTCACAAGCTTACAACTTCAGGCAGCAGTAAGTCAGTTTCATTCCATAATTTATAATTTTATAACGTTACTGTATTTTAATCATGTATTATTTAATTTAACAGTTAATTAAAAATATTGGTGTGTTTTACATATTTATTAAGTTTAATTTATTAATTCGATATTTTTAATATACAGTATAATGTGTATGAAATACATGTGTACTTTGATCTGTTACCACTAATTGCTTTATCGGTACTGTTGATCCCTGTGACAACAGCTGGACAGGTTCTGGCGGTCACGTGACCGCACACACGCGTCAAAGGCCCTGCAGGTTAAGCGTTGTCAACTTAAATTAAAATCTTCGCCTCTGTCACTGAATTCTCTCACCCTTGGTTTTCTTCCAGTCTTCCTTATCAGAGTCGAGGTTAATTTTGAGGGCCATGGCGGTGAAAGCTCCGGTGTGGAGAGACTGGACCAGCACGGCTGTGCTCACTCCAAAGGCGGTACCGAGGGCAAACTTGCCCAGCCAGCCTCTGTTCACCTGGGGTAAGGAGGAATGGGTGCCTCGGCTGGACCGCCAAAGTGGTGTTGTCGTTGAGAACTTGTCAGTTCGGCGGACAGCGTTAATATGGCTGCGGGGAGCACTTGTTGCTGGCCTCCTTCCCAGCTGGGGGCTTCCAGGAGTTAAAATATGTTTGAACTTGACACCGACACTCTGAGTGTCAGCACTGACACGGGACAGAGGGCCGCCGGTGTAGTACGGGAGAGCCCCGATACGGGAAACTCGAGCTGATACTTGCAGTGCCATGTCTGAGGAAACTAACGGGTCGTGCTGCTACGGCTTTCTAGTTTGCAGTGTCGGCCACACGTCGTTGTTTCGTTTTCGTTATCAACACACCTCACAAACACTCATGTGCCATTTTTGTTTGGGAAGTTAAGATGGGACCGTACCATTTATGAGGGGAGCCTGCTAATTGCCGCCAAATAAGTACCTGTAAAAATGTGAGTTGTAATGGTTTTCAGTGGTGTCATTAAACAAGTTATGCTGTGACATGTGAAATAAGTAGACTACACAGCTGAGGGTGTTTCTATTTACAAGTTCCCACCCAGCGAAAACCTCGACCCGAGTAGCAGAGTCGAAACCGTCAACCACAAGAGCGCGCCGCCTTCGTGACTGTCGGAAACATTGACGTTACATGATAAGAACACGCTGGCCTGCTACAGCCCACAGAATAATGAATACGAATATGTATCTTAACAAGACGTTTCCAGAAAGTAGTCGTTTTGGATGCGGTAGCAGGACAACACAAATTAAAGCATCAACCCTACGCAGTAATCTTGACTTAAAATCGACACTTTCGCCGATTCTTCAAAAGCCATCTAGCCCTGAAAGCAACATTAACTGTACGCTCGTACAGAAGAATATGTCCGTATTTGGTCTCCCTCTAGCGGATTCAAAAAAACAAAAGACAGTCTGTAGTCACAGCAAGCCTATCATTGTATAAAGGTATCTTCCCCATATTAAAAACAATGAACTCCTTATTATCTTTGTGGATGTTAGACAGGAGACAATGAATTTTGGTTTTAAATGCGCCAATTTTTATTAGTTGTCGAGCATAAAAATGAAATTGTTTTGGTTTGTGTCTGATATGTCAATAAAAGGTGAAAGTGCTGCTACTAAAGTATAGAACTCATAACTCACACCCTAAAGTTACATTTTTGCTGATTACTCAACACACAAAAATAACATATTTATGCACACCCAAATTGCCATATATGTGTCACTCCCACAGTCTGTCAGTGAAAAATGTTTGAGCCTTTTCACATTTCCGCCTGTCGGAAACTGACAGAGAAAAAAAAAGGAACAAGCAGCAGTGACACAAGTAGCAGAGACCACAACCCAAGAGAGACAAAACTGGTAAACCTTCTCGGAGAAAACCTGGTAAACTTCTTCAGAGATCTTGACAGAGGCGCAGGGGGTCCCCAGTTTCCATTTTTCAAAACCTTGGACGCGGGAAACTGACGGTATTGTCCTTTAAAGTGTGTGTGTGTGTGTGAGAGAGAGACAGCATGAGGACAGAGAGCAAGTTTAGGACAGGGCGTGTGTGTATGCGCATGTTTACGAAGCTTCTCTGTTATACACACATCTGAGGTCATGTATTTATTTTCACCACTTCATGAAATGAAATGTAAAATGATGAAGTGGTCACACAGATGGAAAATTATGATTAGACTCATACAGATGTGGAAAGTGTAGGCCTAAGTAGAGGTGCAGGGGGTGTGAAACTTTTATTTATGCATTGTTTTGTCTCTATCTGCTCTTATTTCAGTTCTTAATTAAGTTCAGACACATTTCAGTCCATAAATCCAATATCTTCAAGGTGGGCTTCTACTTTTCATACATATGCAGGAGGACACTGTCTTAACGGGGGATGAACTTCTCACTTTGGGTGGGTCAGAAAGCGGAAGTGTGCATCCATGGTGATAGTTTAAGTCAGAAACAGGAAGTGCTCATCAAAGTGGACATCCCATCCATTATACGTGTGTGTCTGTGTCATGTTGCGCAGTATTATGTGGGTTAAAGTTGGTTTTCTCTGATAGGCCGAAGAGTGATTGGCAGGTCAAATATCCTCCCTTTGTCTCATTCAATATTTTAAATGCCCTGAAAAGCAGAAGGAGGTGTTATATGACCAAAGCTATCCGATTTCTTTTTTAATTTTTTTTTAATTGTTATAAAATAACTCACTCAACTTGTCATCACACTTTTACCCTCTTGAAAAATAATTAATGCATATATTCATAATTCATAATTCAGATATGAACTTATCCCTCATAAAGTACTTTGTAATATTCTTGCATGTTTTTATCTCCTTTTAGAGAGTTTTAAATGTCTTGCAAAAACGTAGATGTATTTCAAACGAGCATCGTTGCTCACTCTCACCCTAACACTCCCTCTGAAACATCTGAACAGTTTTTCATGTCAGTCTCATGGAGCTGATTTTTCACAGTTTGATCAATGTGGCGAAGAAACAAAGGAAAGTTAATTACACGTCTTCTTCCATTGTCTTTGTCATCGTTGTCACATATGTAACAACAAGGACAAATAAAAAGAAACACAAGGCATTTGTCACCCATAATCCATCACATAAAAGATGGAGGAGGGCGATAAAGCTGTTTACTCTCTCCGTGTTTGTCTGTTTATCTGTCACTGTGCTCTGTCAGGCTTGTCTCCTGCATTTCTTTCTCACTATCCCACGCTCTCTTTTTTTCCAGTATGGCGGCGTGGGACCTGTCAGTCACGGTGGAGGACCTGGGGCTCGATGCCCCACCCGTCACCATCAGCGTGGCCTCCGACCTTCACATCGGAGGGGTTATCCTCAAGTTGGTGGAAAAGACACGTGGGTAGCTCTGTCTTCCTCTCTTTGTCTTCCTCTCAGTCACACTTCAGACTAAAATTAGTGTCGTAATTTACATATTCACACAAGAGTTCACATACAGTTAACAAAATTACAAATGCATAGTTAAGGCAAGAAAACTGAATGAATTATTCAGCACACAGTGTGTCACAAGTCCTCTGAACTGCTCTTATAATTTTTTTTCTTTTGTCACCTGCTACATGTTTTCAATTTTAGTTTGTTCACTTCTTCCGCCACTGCTTTCAGCAAGAAACACAACATCAGTCTAAACATATGTTTCATCAAGTAGTTTGTCAATGTGAGACCAATTAGGTTGGACGGATCATGCAGACACCAGTAAGATCTAACCAAAACAGCTCAATCACATGAGGCTGTTTTAGTTTCAGAGAGGATGAATGTAAATGACCTAGGAGCAAACATTGAATAAGTGAGGAAACAAAGCTATAAATAAAGCTCGGGCAAATTGATCACTTGTTAATTGCGAGCAGGTCTATGCATGCATTCAATCAAAATCAGTCACGCATTATTTAAACATGTTTTGTACACATGCAAAAGATTACACAGCCCTTTGACAGCAGAGACAGACTCCACCCCAGACGAACCCTGCACTGGACAAACAGTAAATTGATTGCAATCATTGGACTGACCAATGTTCAGAACAATGGGAAAAGTTGGGAAGGTCCTTGCTGCCATTTCTGAACAGCTGTAGATTCCAAGGATGTTCCCAGATGCGTTATTCAGATGTGTCACCACTTGTCCAATGTCTAAAAAAAGATCCAAGCTGTCGCTGAGTGTATGTGAACTTCTGACAACAGAAAATAAGGAAAAGCAATAAGGAAAATGTTCAAATCACATCAGGATCAATGCAGAGTGGGTAACAGTGTTGTGCTGCATCTCTCACAATCCAAGATCCATAAGGTCCTGCTGATTTAACTCTGTAGTGAACATATTCCAGTTAATAAAGAGGCTGCACTTTCCTATGACGTGTTTCAGGAACATTAGTGTAAATAATGTGTGGAAAAAACGAAAAACTAGCAGACAAATATGAGCCATGTGGGATCATACTGAAAACAATCTGGCTATTGCCTAGCATTGTTTGGTAGTGGTCACATAAGAGCAGTGTAAAGCATCGTATAAGGAGCAGAAATAAGTAAAGAAATGACCCTGACGTGATTTGAACACGCAACCTTCTGATCTGGAGTCAGACGCGCTACCGTTGCGCCACAGCGTCTCACAGGTGGCCATTTTCTCAGGTCAATGAGTCAATGCAAGGTGTCAGTCAGAAAATTACAACTGATATTTTTTTTATTGTTATAACGTCATTTACTCAACTTTTCATCAAACTTTTACCCTCTTGAAAAATGAGTAATGCATATATTCATCATTTTTATGCACTAGTGGGTAGTAGATATGAAATCGTCCCTCATAAAGTACTTTTTGATATTCTGTTAAGTGTTATTATCTCCTTTCAGAGATTTTGAAATGTCTTGAAAAAATGTTGATGTATTTCCAATGAACATCGTTGCTCACTCTCACCCTCTGAAACATCTAAACCGTTTTTCATGTCAGTCTCTTAAATGTTAAACCTTAAACATTTAAAGCTTATTTTAAACAGGAAGAAACGTTCAGCAGAACCTGGATGAATTACGAGAATAGATCCTCTGTTAACAGATTGCTGGTTTTAGATACAAATGTAATACTGAGGTATCCCAAAAAGTAGCGTTTTCAGTGGAAAAAAGGTTTGGTGACTTTTTCAGTCTCGAGACTGAAGTGAGTCATCTGAGCATGCATCGAGACTTCTCAGAGGGTAAGAGACTAAAGAAATGACCCTGTTAGCTTTAAACAAAGAAATTATGTTATATAGTGTGTCATAGCAGTGTTGCTCAAAGCATAGAAAACAATTTTTAATGATCAAATGTCACTAATTAAATATTAAAAATTAAACGAATTTGTGATATTTAATTAGCAATTGCAAACATAAGCACTGTTGCTACCATACAGTACACTAACTACGCTAACTCCCCCGAATCCTAAAATACTTCACACACGTAAAATGTGTAACGTACTAATAACAATTTTTTTTAACTAAAAAAAACACCACGCTATGGTTTGTAAGTTGTGAAGGTGAAAACACTAAGGAAACCCAAACAATCGCAGGACCCCTACTTGGCAACAGTGGGAACAAAAAACTCCTTTTTAACGGGAAGAAAACTCCAGCAGAACTAGAGAGGGAGCCATTGGTACGAGCAAAGGAACGAGAGCAGAGTGAGAGATAGGACATGACATGTGACATACATATCTAGTAAAGTGGCCAACAGCAGTAATAATAATGTAATACTGTATTCTTTTTATTAGTAATATAATGTAAATGAGGAGGCAGACCAGGTATCGAATAGGTGAAAACCAAAGTTTTGTGGGGGAGATCAGGTAATACCAGCAGCTGCAGACCAATACAACAGCTCTATCATCAATTCTAAATTTTAAGCTCACACATTTCCTTTTGTTTGTTCTACAATAGTTATGCTGTGCATGCAGACTGTATTGACTCCTTACTTATATTTGTTACATTCGAATGGGAATGGAGACAATATTAGAAACATATTTCCATAACACAGTCAAGTATGGCTGCCTAATATAAGCGGAAAACGGTTCATTTATATTTACAAAAGATTAATGGTCAGTGGAAACTTTTAAGTTGTACTTTTTTGTGAAAAAAAAGACAAGAAATCACTTTATG